CAATCAGATGGTTCCTCAGGTTGTAATAGCATTTTTGAAAGGGAATTATTTTTTCTTCCATTTGGGCTGTAATTTCAGCCTAGAGTGTGTAGAGGTAATCATCCTAATTAAATGCAGAGTGCTCACTTACAGTCTTGAAAGATTCTAGGAGATGTCACCTTAGATATCTCTGACAAATTAACAAATAACCTTACAATCCCACACTAGGTTTGATCTCCCACTATGTGATATTCCTTAGTTGGAGAAAATTTTTGTCATCCAGAAAGGCTAAGAATGAGACACAATATTCAAACCCAGCATGTACTGTCTCTTTCAAATCTTCTATTTGAAAATGGAAATGTCCTTTTCAGCTAGTCTCTTCACTCTCACATTTTACTAGAACAGTCTAGGAGGCATTAATTAAAACACTCCACCTAGAACTGTCCTTTAGCAAGATCACGGATTTCATTACAGAAACAGTAAGTGTTGCCAAACTTACCACCATCACATAACAAGGGCTTCTTTCTCCAACTTCCAGTAATACTGTCTTCTTTTCCCTACTCATTTCTACTAATAGCTCCTCAAGGAGCTCTAGTTTCCAAATGGTTCTCAGTTACTAACCAAAATGTTGATTCTTCCAACCTGCCACCTGTTCTGAGAGAGAGACCCAGTGATCTGCTCCCACAAACAGGACAGTCTAGAAGACCCTATGCAGTCATCCTACTCAGTCACAGGGAGTGGAAAGATCAGCACCTAATACCAACAACAACCACCCAGAGGCCTACAAGTTCCTACCAATACTCTGCTTTAGCCCTCTGGACATTTACCAACACTCACCTCTAAACGTTTTCACCTTCTGCCTACTTCCCAGGTCCAATGCCATATAAAGGTTATGCTGTATCAAATTCTGACTTACATTAGCTTTCCATTGGTGCATTAAAAAAAAGAAAGAAAAACAAACTCAAACCGATTAAAACAACAACAAGCCTTTATTTCACTCACAAATTCGCAATTTTGGCAGTATAGGACAGAGGCAGTTTGTGCTCCATTCAGCATCGGCTGGGATGGCTGGACTAGGAGACTCATATGCGCACTGGTTCACTCATTTAGTGGGCAGCTTGGTTGTGACCGGTGATAGGAGTCTGGCCAGAGTTGTCAGCTGAGGCCTCAGTCCCCTCCATATGAGTCTCTCCAGAGGCTGCTTTGCTCTCCACATGGCATCGTGACTGGTTTCCAAGAGTGAGAATTTCCTGAGAAGTAGGTGGAGGCTTGCTTCATGATCTTTTATGGTCTAATCTTGGAAATTACATACTAGTGCAGTCATAAGCCTGCCCACATTTCAGAGGAGAGACCACCGACCTCATCTTTTGTCAAGAACATGTGGTGTCACAGGAGACGCTAGGGTGGCCTCTTGAACACAATCTACCACATCAAACCCGAGAGTGACTGTCAGATCTTTACAACTTAGGGTATCACATTAACTTAAGTCAGCAGTCTGATTGCTTTATCTTAGACTAGAAAAGTCATTCTCAAAGGCAAGACCACAAGCCAATTTAGATTCACGATGAAGATTCATATGAGGAAAATGAGATCAATATGTGTGTATTAAAATTTACCCAACTTACTGCATCCACTGAAAAAAAAATTAAAAAAAATTTACCCAACTTAAAAAAGGTAGAGTCTTACACTGCGGTTATAGTTTCCGTTCTTTTCTGATGCTAAGATTACTTTTATTTTATGAAATGATCACTCAATCATTGCCATAGAGTTGGAACCAACTCATAGCTGGCCCTCTAATGGGTTTTCAGAGCAAGTAAATCACATGGGAAGAGACTGTCCCTCTTTCTCCCACAGAGCAGCTGGTGGATTTGAAGCACCTGCCTTTGGTTTGGCAGCACAACTCCTTACCCACTCAACCACCACAGCTCCTTTATTAAATGATAGTGATCAAATACATTCAAATTCACTGTCATTTAGTCATTTCTGACTCAGAATGACCCTCCATCAGGTTTTGAGACTGTAAATCACAATGAGAGGTGGCTGCCCAACTTTCTCCTGAGGAGCCAATGGTGGATTTGAACCTCAGTCTTTGGATCTATGCTACCAGAGCTCCCTAAATGAAAATGACAGCAGACAGAAATTGTTTCCTTAACAGCATCATAGCAATCCCCTTCATCCTCACCTTTTAAAAATACTCTTTTGATCAATGAAATTTAAAAATGGTAAGAACTACTGTCTAGAAGTTAATGTGACACTGAAATTTGTCCTGATAACCTCTCATATAATGTAGAGGCTTTCTTTGAAGCATTCATCATTGGTTAGGTGTTCAGGAAAAGTCATGCAGCTACCTGTATTACCGTTCATGTTCAAACCATAAGGACATTTTATCTATCCTATGGCTATAATTCAACAAAATAATAAGTAACAAACTAGACGAGCCAAAACCCACTGCCACTGAATCAATTCTGGTTCATAGTGACCCTGTAGGACAGAATAGAACTGTCCCATGGGGTGTTCAGGATTGTGAATCTTTATGAAAACAAACTGTCACATTTTTCTTCTTTGGAGTGATGGTGGGTTTCAACTGCTAACCATTGGATTCATAGTAGAATGCTTTAACAACAGTACTACCACGGTGCTTTCTCAGTAGGAAACAAGAGGTATTATATATTTCAAAACAGACTAAAGCTATAGGTTTACAGATACAAAGAAATACTCAAATCTCCTATCAAAGGACTCTTTGAAGTCAGAGCTAGGAGTCCCTTGATAATCACCATGTTCACAAGCCTGTGAAGCAGTAGAGAAGTAATGTAGTGGAGCAGATACAAGCTTAGGAAATACAAGGTAGAGGGAAAATTATACATAGGATCATAATGTTGGGGGCTTGTTTACTGGAGGACTGGCATTGAAATGGGACATTAGCACAAGTAAGATACAGTGATAAGGATTCAGAAGTCATTTTCATAAAAGAGAACATGATCTACGAATGATTGATTGAAGAGGCAATGAGTTCTAAGAAAAAGAAAAGGAGTACCAAAAGAAAAGAAATGTTTATCTCCTAAAGACTTACTATCTTACAGGCTATTTAGATACAAAGATGCACAAAATAAAGCCTCAACCCTCAAAAAGTTTACAATTCACTTGAAGGAAGAAGCATGTGAACAATTCCACTACAGTATGAGGCTATATTTGGGCACCTCAAAGACCGGAGGTTGAGTTCTGCCTAAAACTAGGGGTAGGGAAGTCATGGTAAGAATTACAGATTACTCCACCAAAGGTCAGGATTGAACTTGGAGACATTCTCATAGTTTAGAGGTAAGATGAAGAAGAGCAGCTTGCACACTAGAGGAATCACGATGGCATATAAGTAACAATACAATGCTAGTTAGCATAATGAAACAAATCAAAAGCTACAACAAAGATTGAAGGTATGGACTGACAAATTAATAGAGAGGAAAAGGCTTTATTCTAGAAGATTTCTTGAAACTCCCTGGTCATATTTAGGAATCTGAAATGAGATCCAGGAATTCTTTGCTGGTCACCAGGATCAACATGTCTGAAGAGTAATATTAAAAATCAATGCTTGGAAAATACAGTCAGAGTAGAAACAACAAAGATGGTGTCCGGCCTTTCCCCAAATTACTTTAGTGCTTAAGGGCACTAGACTTGTAAAAATACACTGTGTTACGAGAAAGGAGCGAACACCAGTCTCCTTTGTAATCCCTTGTTTGTCAAAATAGAACTGGTTCCCCACAGGGTTTTCAATGGCTGATTTCTGAAAGCAGAGTGCCAGGTCTTTCTTCCAATGTACCTCTAGGTAGACTCAAACCTCCAACCTTTCCGTTAGCAGCCAAACATGCTAACAATTGGCACTATTCAGGGAACCCTCATTCTTTGCACTACTCCATAAAAACTAGATCAACCAGTGAAGGTAGTGACAATTATTGCTCTTGTTATTTTGCTTAAGGCAATTGAAACTTTGTTGCTTATATATAAAAAGATCTCAAAATTTTAAAAGTAGGGATTCAAGTTACAAAGCAGTATTATCTCAAAACCATGTCTGAGAAAATGTCAATTGACTAGGTAATAATGGATTGTTAATTTCTTTTCCTAAACCATCCCCTCTCTCCAGTAATGTAAAACTGGCTTTCAGGAAGGGACAAAGAAAAAGAATAAGAACAAGGAATAAAAGTTTTCAAAAATCTTTTTTCTTACAAAATGCTTCCAAAAAGAGTAGTAGAAGTTTCAGGGCTTTATTATATAAACTAAGGAGTATAGGTAGAGATGATTTTGAAATTTCCAATATAATACCAAATCTAGTATTTAAAAGATAAAAATTATACAACAAACAGGAGGAAAGTGGCATGGAGTCTAAATATTACCCAAACTGCAGAACAAAGGAAGTCTTATAAATAGAAAACTAAACAGGGTTGTGTTCATCAATTTAAAGATAAATCATAAGTAAGGCGTTTACTATGGTTCTCTATCTAACAGGTGAAATTTAATTTGTACTTTAAAAAGTTAACATTTTAAAAAGTATTACTTTAAAAAGTAATAATCACAGGGCCCTGATCCCAATAATCTTCAATATTTTCTTCCAGAATATCATTCCATAAGCTTTCCTTTTGAGGGAAGGAAAAGAAATTTTCCTTCAGAAATAGTCAACCACATCTTTCTTTTTAAAAAAATGGAATTCCTCACTAGAGTGAAAATTCTCTCAATAGTTTCAAAAGTCTCTGTGTGTGAGTCACAATTCAATTGATCGCCAGAAGCAACACTTGGAGCTCACATGGGCTGTCCCTGTGGAACTGTAATGAAGACAGAAAGTCTGTACATAGCATGCAGAGTACAGACCAAAAAAATGTGATTTGATACTTAAATATTTTTCTGCAACCCCACATCTATTTTCTTTACTTCATGAATAAAGTTTATTTAAAGACACTAGAAGGAAAATGTTCTTTTTACAAAATATCCTAATCAGTAGGAAGGATGATGGTCTTGGCTTCTTTTCTGACCATGGCTTAGGATTTGGCACTTTTCACTGGACCTGAAAGGAAACAAATTTTTAAATTATAGTTAATTAGCTTGCAGAATGAAACAAAATGAAGCCAGTTTTTAAAACAGTAGCATAAATCACTATGTCCCAGTCTTCATTATCCACTGGTTGAACTTGTTATTAAGTCCTGCAAGTCATCTCAAACTCATAGCGACCCTCTGTACAAGACAGTCACACACTCTCCAATCCTGCACTAGCCTCACAATATCTGCCCTGTGTCCTTCCACCTTTTTGAGTCCTAGAATTTTTCCCCTTGTTATCTTTTTTATTAATTTTAATGAAAAATTAGAGATACTTTGTATTTCCATTCATTCATTGTTGCACTTTTCTCCTGGCCCACCTCTCCTCCTACCCCCTCAATTTGCTCTTCTCTTTGAAAAGTAGAAGAAAAATTCTTTCATTGTTATACAATCCCTCCCCGCAAGTCCACTCCACTGTACAGCCTTCATTCTGGATTCCTGTCATGATAGTAACACCTCATCATACATAGCTTCTAAACAGTTCTTTCCCTCATCTGTTTCAATGCAGTGTATATTATTTAGCCCCTCTTTCTAGGTTTCCCCTTGACTCTGATGTAAGTCCCATTTTATAACAGTGGCACTACGCAATATTTGTCCTTTTGTGACTGAGATATTTCCCTCAGCTTAATATCCTCCAGGGTCATCCATTTTGTATAATATTTTATAAGTTGAGTCCTAGATTTGTACATATATTGATTCAACCATTCACTCTTCTTTTTCTAAATACATAAAGCTAGGCAATTAGCAGGAGTAGCATCCACTTCCTAAATGATATGCCTCCAGAAACTCTATGAACATTGATAAATGTCTACAGTTGTAAAGGGGCATCAGGTCTTTTGTTCATAGTGTTGCTATGAGTCATGCTCGACTCGAAGGCAATCAACAACAGCAACAACAACAACAAATCAGTATTATTGTTGCTATTTCTGCCTCAGGCTATAATAACTTTGTCTTTACTCTTCTTATTAAATAGGATGATATTATTTTAGTGATTACATCCATATCTAACATTCTATGATACAGATCCGTAACAAATATTCCACGATACAGGTATGAGATGTCAGAGTGGCTGGTGGGAATTGTTAGGTGCCGTCAAGTCAGCTATGACTAACAGCAACCCTATGAACAACAGATCAGAACCTTGCCCCATCCTGTGCTTTCCTCATGGTCTCCCATATGCCTGAACCCACTCACTGGCGGACTTCCTCTCTTTTCTGACGCTCTACCTTTCCCAGTATGTCTTTTTCCAAGGACTAGTCCCTCCTGACAACATACCCAAAGTCTGTGAGACAGGGTTTTATCATCATTGCCTCCAAGGAGCAACCTGGTTGTACTCCCTGAAAGACACTTGTTTGTTCTTTTGGCAGCACATGGCTGGAAGAGTTGTGATAGAAGAAGCTTCAGTGAGAGAAGCAGTTCTTCCTCACAGATGAGAGATGAGGGTGAGAGAGAGTTCAGGGTAGGTAATGGTAATTCTGGAGCAGAGGTAGAGGGTGGTAATCAAAGAACTATATTACCAATAATTCAAGACCTAATCATCTCCATTTAGATAGACCAACTACAGTAGTATTTCTCTAAACTTCTCTCTCTGATCCATTTAACAAAGAGAGCCAGATTACTCTCCCCTCTTTAATCCCTCTTCTCTCCTTTTAATAGCATTCCACTGTCCAGAAAATAAAGTTCCTATTTCTAACCTTATCATTTAATACTGTTTATAAAGGATCACAAAGACATTTCCCAAGCTATTTTATACTTATTTTAACACAAAATCAACTAAAACCTGGTAGGTCAGTAAATATATATGAATGCTACATAGGTACCACAGTGCTGTGAATAAATAAATATTAGTTACAAATGGTAAGAAATTACTGTCACATTACTTGGAAAAGGTTAAATGGCTAACCCTCAAAACCAGAGCCTCTTTTGATAAACATAAAAATTTTAGGTACCTGGGTATCTACATGGAAAATAATGAGTCCTTGGATCATTACTTCACACCACATACAAACACTAATTCGAAATGGATCACACAACCAAACACAAGACTCGTAAAACTCCTAGGAAAAAACATAAGAGTAATCTCCATAGCTTTGAATTAGGAAACTGCTTCAGAGATATAACACCAAAAGCACAGTAATAAAAGGAAAATAAATTGTACTTATTAAAAATTAAAAATATTTTTAAAAAAGAAAATAAAATACAATCTACAGAAGAGAAAATATTGTTGTTATGTGCCATTAAATTGTCTATGACTCATAGCAACCCTATCAACAACAGCTCTGAACCCTGCCCTATCCTGAGCCAATCTGTCTCTTACATTCCTGCTTCCACTGTCACAGTCACTCTGTCGATCCATGTCATTCAGGATTTTCTTCCTCTCCTCCATTGGCCCTCCACCCTTCCAAGCATGTTGTTCTTCTCCAAGGACTGGTCCCTCTTGATAACAAGCCCAAAGTATGTGAGATGGAGTTCCACAGTCTTTATCTCCAAGGAGTAACCAGGTTTCACCATATCCGGGATAGACCTGTTTGTTCTCTTGGCAGTCCATGATATGTTCAATGCTCTTCTCCAGCATCATGACTCTTCTGTGAAGATTCTTCTTCTGTCATCCTTAGTTACTGTCTAGCTCTGAGATGTAAAGCAAGTAATTGAGAAGACTATGGGTTGGATCAGATGCACCTTAGTCTCTAGACTGACACCATTGCTCCTTAGAACTCTGGAGAGGTCCCTGAAAGCAGACTTTGCCAAAGAAACTCATCTTTTGATTTCCTGACTACTGGTGCTAAGAGCTTTGATTGTGAACCTGAGTAAGATGAAAATGTTGACAACCTCAATTTCTTCTCCATCTGTCATGACGTTGCCAACTGGCCAGGTGGTGAGAATCTTTTCTTTCTGGATCTTGTGATGCAATCTATATTGAAGAGGCCTTGACCTCTGCAGCAAAAAACTTCAAGTCCTCCTCAGTTTTGGTGAGTAAGTTGTGTCATCTGCATAAAGCAGGTTGTTGATGAGTCTTCCTCCAATCCTGATGCCACATTCTTCTTCATAAACTCCAGCCTCCCAAATGATCTGTTCCACACATCGATTTAAAAAGTATGGAAACAGGATGCATCCCTGATGCACTTCTTTCCTAATTTTGAACCTTGCAGTGTTTCCTTGCTCTGGTTGTACGACCGCTTCCTGGTCTAAGCATAGTTTTTGCATGAGCACAATAAAATAGTCTGGGAATCCCATTCTTCTTAAGAATAGCTATAATTTGTTGTGATCTATACAGTCAAATGCCCTTTAAATAGTCAATAAACCATGAATAGACATTCTCCTAGTACTCTCTGCTTAGCAAATCATATATCTAATAAGGAACTTGTAGCCAGGATATATTAACAACTCCTACAACTCAACAATAAAAAGACAGCAAAATTTGAAATGAATATTTGAATGGATTTACTCTAAGTATGATATACAAATAGCCAGTAAGCACATGACAACATTTTAAACCTACAACCAGGAGAAGATAAAACAGGTGAATGGGACCTTCTAAACATCAAATGCCTATGCACATCCAAAAACTTCTCCAACAGGGTAAAAAGGGAAGCCACAGACTGGGAAAAAGTATTTGGTAATGACATGTTAGATAAGGGAGTTATATCCAGAATTTATAAAATACTTGAGCACCACAACAAGATAAAGGTAAATAATCCAGTAGAAAAATGGGCACAGGATATGAACAGACACTTCACCGAAGAAGACATTCACATGGCTAACAAGCACGTGAATAAATGCTAAAAATCCCTAGCTCTAAGAGAGATGCAAATCAAAACAACTCTGAGATATCATCTCATTCCAGTCAGAATAACAAAATTTAACATAACAACGATCAACAAATGCTGTCGAGGTTGTGGAGGAACTGGAACCCTTAGTCATGGATGGTGGGAATGTAAAATGGTGCAACCATTGTGGAAGGCGGTATGGCGCTTTCTCAAAAAGTTGCAAATAGAGATACCATTTGACCCAGCAATTCCACTACTGGGAATACACCCCAAAGAGTCCATAACTGACATCCAAGCAGATACATGCACACCCATGTTTATTGCAGCTTTGTTCACAATAGCAAGGAGTTGGAAACAACCTAAGTGCCCATCAACAAACAAATGGATAGAGAAGCTGTGGTATATTCACACATTGGAATACTACGCTGTATTGAAAAACAAGGAACCCATGCAATATTACTCAAAATAAGTTACCCCGGAGGGCATTATGCTGAGTAAAGTGTCTCAGTCACAAAAGGACAAATGCTGCACGGTGCCACTGTTGTAAAACAGGACTGACATCAGGGTTGGGGGAGAAAACTGTTTAAAAGGGATATGTGATTAGGTATTTTTGTTATGACAGGAGTCCAGAGCGAAGGCTGCATAGTGGAGTGGACCTGGGAGGAAGGATTGTAAAACAATGCAAGAATTTTTCTTTTACTTTTCCAAGAGGGTAGTGTACTGGGGCGGGGGATTGGGAGGGGAGAAAAGTGCAACAATGAATGAATGGAAATCCAAAGTCTCTGTAAATTTTCATTGAAATTAATAATAATTTTTTTAAAAAAACCCTTTTTTAACATTAGTTATTGTTGTTGATGATTGCCTTCAAACTGAGCATGACTCAGCAACCCCATGAACAAAAGGCCTCAAGCCTCTCTACAATCATCGATATTTATCAAAGTTCATAGAGTTTCCAGAGGGATGTTATTTAGGAAGTGGATGCCACTCCTGCTTCCAATCCTGTCATAGTATGTTATTGGTGTATGTGCCATGAGTCATCTGTGATGTATAACGACCTTTTGTACAAACGCTCTGAACCCTTCCCTATCCTAAGCCAGTCTCACTGACTCCAACACAACCAACCACCATCACCCCAGTTACTGTATCTATCCATCTCATGCTGAGTCTCTCTCTCTCCTGTGCTGTCATCTACCCTTTTGAGCATGATGTCTTTCTCTAAGGATCGATCTCTCCTAGCCACATACCCAAAGTAAGTGAGGTGGAGCTTCAAAATTCTAGCCTCCAAGGAGAGACTTGGTTTTATCCTCTCCAAGACAAACCTATTTGTTTTCTTGGCAGTCCATGGTATGTTCAAGACTCCTCCAGCACCACAACTCGAAGGCATCTATTCTTCTTCTATCATCCTTAGTCTTTGTCCAACCCTCTGAAGCATAACAAGTAATTGAGAAGACCATGGCCTGGATTCAGCACACCTCTGTATCTAGACTGACATCATTACTCTTCAGCACTCTGGGGATGTTCATGACAGCAGATTTTTCCCAATGCAATTTGTCTTTTCATTTCCTGACTTCTGGTGTTAAGAGTGTTGATTGTGAATCCGAGCAAGCTGTAATTGCTAACAACCTCAATCTCTTCTCCTTCTATCAAGGTGCTGCCAATTGGCGCAGTGGTGAGAATCTTTGTCTTCTTGATGTTGAGATTCAATCCATATTCAACTACAGTTCTTGACCTTTTGCAGCAACTGCTTCAGGTCTTCTTCCGTTTCATCAAGCAAGGTTGTGTCATCTGCATATTGTAGGTTATTAATGAGTCTTCCTCCAATCTTGATGCCACACTCTTCCTCAAAAAGCCCTGATTAAAAAAAAAAGCGCCCTGATTCCTGAACAGTTGGTTCTACATACAGATTCAAAAGATACAGGGACAGGATGCACCCCTGATGCACCCCTTTCCTGATTCTGAACCATGCAGTGTTTTCTTGCTCTTTTCTGAGGACTGCTTCTTTGTCCAAGTATTCTAAACCAACTGCTGTGGAGCTGATTCATACCCCTAAAGACCCTCAATCAGGCTTCAGAGATTGTGAATCTTTGTGGAATGAGACTGTTCCAGTGGAACAACTGCTGGATTCAAACCAACCACCTTTTGAACTACACAAATGTGCTACTTTAGAGGAATGTAAATAAGAACCACTATAGTAACACCATTTCAGGTTTTTACACATGGTTAAAAAACATGTTGTTGTTAGGCAGTATTGAATCAGTTCCAACACATAGCTGTCCTATGTACAACAGAATGAACCTACCTTATCTTGTACCATCCCCACAATCTTTACTGGGCTGAAGCCCAGCGTTGCAGTCTAGCTATCTTCTTGAAGGTCTTCTCCTTCCTCGCTGACTCTCTACCTTTCCAAGCATAATATCCCCATCCAACGATAAAACCATACTGATAAGATGCCTAAAGTATATAAGAGGAAGTCTCATCATCCATGCTTCTAAAGAGCACTCTAGCTACACTTTTACTAAAATATCCATTGCCCAAAATTCACATGCATGTGAAGCAACTGAACATAACATGGTCAGGTACACCTTAATTCATTAAACTGACACCCATGCTATTTAGCATTTTAAAGAGGTCCTTGGGAACAGATCTGCCCAATGAAATATGTCATTTGATTCCTTGACTGAAGTTTCTTTCCATGGGTGTTTATTGCAGATGCAAGTAAAAGAAAATCCTTGACAACTTCAATCTTTACCTATCACGATGTTGCCTACTGGTTCATTCGTGAGGATAATTGTTTTCTTGATGTTGAAATATAATCCATACTAAAGGCTGAAGTACCTGTAAGAGTGGGCTTCAACACAGTGGAGATGGTGAGGGCAACACAGGATCAAATCTTCTCTTTGTTGTACATATGTCTCTATGAATTAGAGTCAACTTGATGGCACCAAATAACAACATCTTCCAAGAGGACAGGCCTCCCTAGTCAAGAATCACTAGTTCACCAATCAAAGGTACAATAAACTAATTTAAATAAACAAAGATTGTTCCAATGTTAAGTTAGGATTAGTCATTCCCTTTGGAAGCATTCTCCTCCCACGTGATCCCCAAAGGGTCAACTGTAGTAGGTTTTTACTAAATGGTATACAACAACAACAATATTAAAAGTAAGGAACTATATCATGGATTCAAGCATGTAACTATTTAATAGAGTTTACTGAAATAGACTATCTCAGAAATAATAGCATTGATACTAATTTTCATTTTTCTGACACTGAAACCACAAAACTTACGTGGTGTGGATATTTTTGTGAAAATAGGAGTCACAATATCTTCCAAATGTTTCTTCTGTTCAAAAAGTTCACTGATGGAAGCATCCAAATGGGCTTCTAGCCACTCGTTTTTTGCACGGCATGCATTCAAGATGGTATTCTAGGGGCAAAGAAGAAAATTTATTTTCCATTTATTTACTGTAAAATGAAACTTTTTAGAATCCAATAGCAATTTCTACGAAGGTGGAAATGTTTGCCCTGTTTAATGCAGTAACCAATAGCCATGTGTGACTAAGGAACTGAATTCTAAATTTTATTTCACTTTAATTAATTCACATTTAAATAGCCATATATGCCTAGCAGCTATTCTATTAGATGGTATAGCTCTAATATTCGTGAATGTGAATAGACATTTTCAGTGTTTATAACTGAAACATTACATAAAGCCAAAAAAACTACCACTATAAAGTCTATTCCAACTCATAGCAAACCTGTAAAATTGAACAGAACTGCTCCACATGGTTTTCAAGGGTATAAATCTTTCTAGAAACTGATCATCTCATCTTTCTCCCATAAAGTGGCTGGGAGGCTTGAACATTCAAGTTAGCTGCTGAATGTCTTAGCCAAGACTTGTGTCAAAGAGAGTTCTAGTTCCTTAACTCTTTATTTTCACTGAGCTGAATAACAAAGATCAATGTTTGCAAAAGTTGGGGGGAAATGAGTGGACAGTACAAGCTGTGTATGAGTCAACAAATAATATTGACTCTGAGTATTTTATTCCCTCTCAAATGATTCACAGGAGGAAACAGTGGAAGACATGCAAGAAGAGCTACCCCTCACAGCGACCCTCTACAGCTCCAATATGAAACCATCTCATTGCACATAGCAGGGAACTGCGAATATTTGATTTAAGACACCAGAAAAATGTGGAAAAAAAGTTAAAATTTCATTTCCTTCTGCCTCCTCAACCCAGGCTGGGCATCTTTTGCCAAATACAGACTTTCTAATTCTCCCCCACAATGCTTCCTTATCTTGCTCACCAGCAATAGAAAGAGGCTAAAAGACTGAGAGACTGAAAGTAAAGAGATAGAAAGGGGTAAGACAAAAGAGGAAAGAAAAACTATATTATTGTCTTTTGAAGTGTTATTTCTTCTCTAATGAAACTCAGAAAAACTACAAATAAGAGAAGCTGAACAATTTGCCTAAGATCCTTCTTCTAATCAAAGTGAAGCTACAACTACAATCTCAATTCCTGCATCCCAACACAACATGCTTACATCTAAATAAGGTGATCCTTCCTCTTCCTTTATGATCATTAATAGAATACGTTCTCTATATGTGGTATTTTTTAAAGACCTGCACTAACATTACTAGTTATGCTGTTGTTGTTATGTGCCATCGAGTCACTTGCGACTCATAGCGACCCTATGTACAACAGCCCTAAACTCCGCTCTGTCCTGTGCCAATCGCACTGTCTCTGACACTCCCATCCCAATTATCCCAGTCACTGAATCAATCCACCTCATAGAGGGCCTTCCTCTCCTGCGCCGTCCCTCCACCCTCCCAAGCATGATGTCCCTCTCTAAGGACCGGTCTCTCCTCACAACATGTCCAAAGTATGTTAGACGGAGCCTCAGAATCCTTGCCTCCAAGGAGCCACCCAGTTTAACCCTTTCCAGGACAAATGTGTTTGTTTTCCTAGCAGTCCATGGTATTCTCAATACTCTTCTCCAGCACCACAGCTCAAAGGCATCAATTCTCCTTCTATCTTCCTTGGTCATTGTCCAACTCTCTGATGCATAACAAGTGATTGCGAAGACCAAAGCCTGTATCAGACGCACCTTAGTCTCCAGAGAGACACCATTGCTCTTCAGTACTTTGGAGAGGTCCCTAGCAGCAGACTTTCCCATGGCAATGCGCCTTTTAATTTCCTGGCTGCTGGTGCCAAGACTCTTGACTGTGGAGCCAAGCAAGCTAAAGCTGTGTACAATCTCAATCTCTTCGCCATCCACCCTGATGCTGCCAATTGGTCCAGTGGTGAGAATCTTTGTCTTCTTGACATTGAGCCTCAATCCATAGTGTAGGCTGCAGTCCTTGACACTCTGCAGAAGGCGCTTCAGGTCCTCTTCAGTTTCAGCAAGCAGGGTTGTGTCATCCGCATAACGCAGGTTGTTGATAATTCATCCACCAATCTTGACCCCACATTTCTCCTCATAGAGCCCAGCCTCCCGGATAATCTGTTCTGCATATAGGTTGAAAAGGTATGGAGATAGGATGCATCCCTGGCGTACGCCCTTCCCAATTTTGAACCATGCAGTGTTCCCTTGCTCTGTTCTGACGACTGCCTCCTGGTCCAAGTATAAGTTTTGCATTAGAACGATCAAGTGTTCTGGGATTCCCAGTCTTCTCAGAGTCAGCCATAGTTTGTTATGATCTACACAGTCAAATGCCTTTGCATAGTTATAGCATTTCTAATTTTAGATGATGAGGCATAATCTTTCTGCACTGAAAAAGCAATCAATAAAAGAAGAAGAAAATCTGATGAATGTTGTTGTTGTTGTTGTGTGTCACTGAATCACTTGCCACTCATAGCAACCTTATGTACAAGGGTCCTAAATCCTGCTCTATCCTGTGCCAATCTGTCTCTGTCACACCACTCCATTACACCAATCACTGAATCAATCCATTTCATTGAGGGTCTCCCTTTCCTGCGCTGTCCCTCCACTCTCCTAAACATGATGTCCCTCTGCAAGAACTGGTCCTTCCTGGCAACATGCCCAAAGTATGTCAGACAAAGCTTCAGAATCCTTGACTCCAAGGAGTTGCTCGGCTTCACCCTCTCCAGGGCAAACCTGTTTGTTCTCTGAGCAGTCCATGGTATATTCAACACTCTTCTCCAGCACCACAGCTGAAAGGCATCAATTCTCCATGTATCATCCCAAGTCACTGTCCAGCTCTCTGACACATAGCATGCAATTGCGAAGACTATGGCCTGGATCAGGCGCACCTTAGTCTCCAGTCTGATGTTGTTGCTCTTCAGCACTCTGGGAGGTCCCTGACAGCTGATTTTCCCAATGCAATTCATCTCTTGATTTCCTGGCTGCTGGTACCAAGGGTGTTGACTATGGAGCCAAACAAACTAAAACTGTTAACTATCTCAATCTCTTCACTATCAATAATGATGCTGCTGCCAATTAGCCCAGTGGTAAGAATCTTTGTTTTCTTGATGTTGAGCTTCAATCCATACTGAAGGTTGCAGTCTTTGAATTTCTGCAGCAAGCGCTTCAGGTCCTTCTCAGTTTCAGCAAGCAGGGTTGTGTCATCTACATAACGCAGGTTGTTGATGACTCTTCCACCAATCCTGATGCCACATTCCTACCTATACAGCCCAGCATCCCGGATGATCTGTTCTGCATACAGATTGAAAAGGTATGGAGACAGTCTACATTCCTAGTGGACAGTCTTCCAGATTTTGAACCATACAGTGTCTCCTTTCTCTGTTTTGATGACTGCCTCTGTTTCAAGTATAGGTTTTGCAGAAGCACAATCAAATGATCTGGGATTCCCATTCTTCTCAGAGTCAGCCACAGCTTGTTGTGATCCCCACATTCAAAAGCCTTTGCATAGGCAATGAAGCACAGATAGACATTCCTCTGGTACTCTCTGCTTTCTGCCAAGATCCATCTGACATTAGTTATAATATCCCTAGTACCACAGCCTCTTCTAAACCCAGACTGCACACCTGGCAGTTCTCTGCCACATACTGCTTGCTTTGTTTCTGGATAATTTTCAGCCGAGTCTTGCTTGCATGTGATATTAATGATATTATTTAATAATTTCTGCACTGTCAGGTTGCCTTTCTTTGGAATGGGAACAAATATTGATCTCTTCCAGTTTGTTGGCCAGATGGCTGTCCTCCAGATTTCTTGGCACAACTTAGTGAGCATATCCAGAGCAGGGTCTATTTGTTGAAATACTTCAATTGGTATGCCGTCAACTCCTGGAGTCTTGTTTTTTGCCAGCTCTTGCTCATACGTTATTTTATTAAATTCTTCTATGTCAGCTAATTTCTTTTGGTACAGTGACTCTGTATACTCCTTCCATCTTCTTGTAATGCTTCTTAGATCATTTAACATTGCATCCAAAGCATCCTTAAGTATTGCCACTTGTGACTTGAATTTGTTTTTCAATTCCTTCAGCTTAAGAAATGCCGAGTGAATTCGGCCCTTTTGATTTTTGTCATCCTGAGCTGCCCTTTGAAATTTTTTGTACAGCTCTTTCTTGATTTTGTCCTTTAGCTTTGGCTTCTCAGTGCTCTAATGCAATATTCAGAGTCTCATCTGACATCCATCTTGGTCTTTTCCTCCTCTTCAGCCTTTTTAATGATCATTTTCATTCTTCATAGATGATATTCTTGATATCTGCCCACAGCTCATTTGGTCTTCCCTCATTGGTGTTCAAGGCCTCAAATCTGTTCCTGAGATGGTTTTGAAATTCAAGTGGGATAGACATAAGGTTAAATTTTGGTTCCTGTGGATTTGTTTTTATTTTCTTCAACTTCAGCTTGAACTTGCACATGATATGGATTTCACCTGATAGTATGCATAAGAATCAAATAGATTACATTTGTGGAAAGAACTGCTGGAGAAGCTCAATACCAGCTGTGAAAACCAGGCCAGGTGCTGACTGTAGAACAGACCACTGAGGAATATATAGAGAATTAATTTTCTGCAGAAGTATTTATGGTTTTACCTTTGGTTGATTAATAGGTAGGTAGTTTTACTAGGAATTGCTAGGATCTTTAGACTAGGGAGACCTAAGGGAAGTTGAAGATTATTGGCAGAAAAGAAAAGCTGTGAATACCTCTAGTACTGTTTACCTTTTCTCACACTATCTTAAATGTAGAACGAACGTAATTTAATTTTTTCATTGTAGAAAGGAGTCAATATATGAACAGAGTTCAAAACAAGGTTTTGTTGGATAGAATAATTTATAGTTAAATAAGTAAAATAGGAAAAATCCTGAAATAGGAATATTTTATAAATCTATAATCAAATCTAGAAATGATATCAGAATTTGACAAAGTTTGTAAAACTATGGTAAGTATACACCCCATGTCACTGAATCCATTCCAACTGATGACAACTCTCCATTAGGTCTCTGAAGCTGTAAATCTTTACAGAAGGAGACTGCCTGTCTTTCTCTGCAGAGCAGCTGGTGGATATGAACCACTAACTTCTTGGTTAGCAGGACAATAATTTCACTATGTCACCAGAGCTTCTTAATAAGACTATTGTTCTGGGATTCCCATTCTTCTCAGTGTTAGCCACAGTTTGTTGTCAAATATCTTTGCATAGTCAATAAAACACAAGTAGTAATCCTTCTGGTTCTCTCTGCTTTTAACCAAGACTCACTTAACATTGGCAATGATGTCTCTAGTGCCATGGCCTCTTCTAAATCCAGCTTGTATTTCTCTACTGACATATTCTTCTAGTTGTTTTCAGATAATATTCAACAAGACTGTGCTTGGATATGATACTAATGGTATTGTTTGATGATTTCTGTACTCTACAGGATATCTAATAAGATGTATATAAAAGTCCAAAGGGGAATGAAGCAGGGGGTAGACTGTGAGGAGAGAGAACCACTGGGATGAACATGTTTGGTGAGCTAAGGGATGGGTTAAGAAATTAGGAAAGATCAAATGAGGGTCTGCAAAGTAATAGTGTGTATAGATCAATGGTGATTAATTTTATAGAACACACTGTATAGGAATTATCATATGAAACACAGTGTGAATGAAGGAATATAGTGAAATATAATTTGAATATAATGAAATATACAGTGAAGGAATATATGTGTAAAAAATAGTGTATATGAATGAAACACAATGAATACATTTTGTTTGGCAACTAGTACAAAATAAAAGCATATTTCAAAACAAAACAATATAGAAGATTTTTATATGCATTCAATTAAGTTTACAGAACTTTGTGTTTCATGAACCAAGTATGAATAGTTTGCAATTCAAAAAACTTTGCAAAAAATTGATAGTTTCCTTGATCATAAATTAAATTACATAAATTTCAGCACTTGAAATTTTTAAGTCATATGGTCTGACAAAAAATAAAATTTTGAATGAAACTAGAAATTGCTGATAACAGAATGACCATTGAGGGTAGAGGCGAAGCACACATCTACAGAACTGCAAAATCAAAAAGTAAATTAAAATTGATAAATTAGTGCCAAATTATTTCATATAAAAAGCTATATGACATAGTTGAAGCTTTAAAAATATAACATGCCAGGGCAGTTTTATGTAAAATGCCTATCTTCCAGAGAACAGAATATTCTGTTGTTGTTAGTTGCTGTCAAGTAGATTATAACTCTTGATGACTTCATGTGTACAGAGTAAAATAGCTCCATAAGATTTTCATTTCTGAAACTTTTCAGAAGCAGATTACCAGGACTATCTACCAAGATGCCGCTCTGTATGTTCAAACCACTACTCTATTAACTAACAGTTGAGCACTTAATCATTTGCACCACTCAACTTCCTCTGATGGTACTAGCATACAAGGCAAAGGAAAGTAGATCTACTACGCTTGAAAAAGAAAACGTACATTAAACAGCAGGAATTTAAATGGCATGTCATAGTTGTCATTATGTGCCATCAAGTCACCTGATACTCATAGCAATTCTACATACAATAGCTCTGAATGCTGCCCTGTCCTCTGTCAGTCTCATTGTCTCTGGCACATCTACTCTCATTGCCTCAGTTACATTCATCTCATCTGGGGTCTTCGTCTCCTGCGCTGTCCCTCAACCCTTTCAAGCATGACATCCTTCTCCAGGAACTGGTCCCTCCTGGCCACAAGCCCGAAGTATGTGAGATGGAACTTCAAGATCCTTGCCTCCAAGGAAAAGCCTGGTTTCAAACTCTCCAGGTCAGATCTATTTGTTCTCTTTGGCAGTCCATGATATGTTTGTTCAATACTCTTTTCCTTCACCACAACTCAAAGGTATCAATTCTTCTTCTGTCATCTCTAGTTACTGTCCAGCTCTCTGATGCATAAACAAAGAACATGATCTGAATCAGGTGCACCTTAGTCTCCAGACTGTCTTAAAATAGTCCATCAAAAGAAAATCAGGAAAGCAGGGATAATGGAACATTAGAAAATGTATTATGTAATTATTCTTATATTAGGGATCCCTGGTAACCTAATAGATAAAGAGTTACACTTCCAACCCAAAGGCTCATGGTAAAAAAAAAAAAACAAAAAAACAAAAAAACAAAGGCTCATGGTTTGAATCTGCTACTCCTCAGGAGAAAGATGGGAAATCTCATATGCAATTTACAGCCTCTAAAAACCTGCTGCATGGTCAGTTATGAGTTGGTTGTGATTCAACGATAGTGAGTGAATGAATAAGATATTAGTAAATTAAAAACTAGTATGACAATAATGATAAATACCTAGAAAGTTTAAGTACAATTAGTTATTTCATAGCACAGACTCCCGGATCAAATTGTCTGCATTCAAATCTTGATGTTTCCACATAAGGACTGTATGACTGGAAAACTTCTTTAACCTGTGAGCCTCCTTTTCCTTATTTGGAAAAAAAGGAGATAATCTCATAGGGTTATTTTGAAAATTTGAGAAAAAGCACATGGTACCTTGTGTTCCTTAAAGAGTTTTCCACGTCCCTTTTCTGTGTCTGTAACCGCACCAGAGACCTTGGCAATATATTTTTTCAGAGTCAGCTTTGCACCTGAAAAAATTACAACCACAAAACACACAATGGTAAGAGAATAACTGAAAAAAAAATGCTTGTTTGGAAAGTACCATTTTAATGTCAGAGCTTTATAAAGATTATGTGCTTATTTGTAATGCTTGTTTCCTTTGAATTCAACAAAGATAACACTCATCGAAGTACTTTGGGGTTTTTTAATCTGTTTTTTTTTGTTTTTAAATTGTGGTTTCTGTGAAAGCTTACACAGCAAGTTAATTTCTCATTCAACAATTTAAAATTTGTTTCATGGTATTAGTTTCAACCCTCTCTAATTGCTCTCTACTCCCTCCTTACCTGGGTTCCTCATATCCGTTCATCCTCATTTCCTGGCCCTTTCCCTCTCCTGGGCCTTATTAGTGTGTAAATATTGCCCTTTTGTCTTGTATGGTTGACTGCTCTAAGTTCCTCTTCGGTATTACTATTCACTCTTAGTTCCCCCAAGGGAGAACCCATTGCTCTATGAACTGTTACACAATTATAATGTTGTTTAGCTCTCATTTCAGTCCATCTTGTAACTTTATTTTTCTTTTTTTTTTTTTTTTTACTTCTGCCTCTAGACTGTAAGCCACTTAAAGTCAAGGTGTACTCTCATCTTTTCACCACATACCATTTCACATTTCCCCACTATCTTAAAGCATCAAAGAAACATGTATAAAAAAAGAAGAAAGGTGCTCAACGTTTGCTCAACTACTTAAAGGAAAGGTCATTTCACAGAGATAAAACAGATTCTAGGTTTTTTTAAACTGGTATAATACCATGGACTGCTCCTTGGAGTCATGGATTCTGAGGCTTTGTCTGACACACTTTGAACATGTTGCAAGGAGGGACTGGTCCTTGGAGAGGGACATCATGTTTGGGAGAGTGGAGGAATGGTGCAGGAGAGGAAGACCCTTGATGAGATGGATCGACTCTGTGATTAGGGTGGTGGGAATGAGCGTGTTTGGAGACAGCAAAGTTGGCACAGGATAGAGCTCTTATACATAGGGTCGCTATGAGTGGCAAGTGACTCGACGGCACATAACAACAACAACTATATTTTTATTTTCTCTCTGTGTGTGTGTGTGTGTGTGTGTGTGTGTGTACCATCAAACTGGATCTGACTGGTCTGGGATTGCAGTGCAGTTTCTCACCACTAGGCCACCAGAGCTCCCAACAACAACTATTTTTAGAACATGTTAAGCTGATATGCTTCCTAAGAGGAATTGAAGGGGTATGAGTAAATTTCTCCCATCAAATTCTATTAATATGGATGTGGAACAACTGAATTCTACAAAGACGTGTTTTCTTGTTTTGGATGAAACTTAGGTGTGGACTCTTTGCTTGCAATTGGGAGTGAGCTGATTGGACTTGGCCTTGTACTTAAAAAGGAATTTGGGCCTGAGGCCCACAGACCCTCGGGTCTGGTTTTTATTGTTTTCAGTCAAACATTCTTCTAAGTAGTATAGCACTGGTCTGTCCATTTGCTGTACAGAGGTAACTCATGGTTGCTATGATGCTGAACACTGACACTGATGGGTCAAATATAATAATGGTTACCCATGGTGGAAACTCATGGTTGCTATGATGCTGAACACTGTGACACTGATGGGTCAAATATAATAATGGTTACCCATGGTGGAAAGTGTTTGCTGGAGCTCCCTAATTAAAACAGGCTTGGAAGCAAGAGTGGCATCCACTTCCAAAAGAGCTTGCCTCCAGAAACTCTATGAACTTAAAGAAATGATGAAAATTATATAACAGTGTTCAGGTCTTTCATTCATAGGGTCTCTATGAGTCTTCTATGACTCTATGACACTTAATAACAACAATTTGATTACAAGCAGGTAAAATGTTAGTGAATAGTCTTTATTCCCTCACAAAATTCAAATAGCTCAAACCATTCTGGAATAAAGTAAGAAAAAAAAAGTACCCATACCAAAGGTGATTGGCTAGTTGCTATCTTTTAGTTCCAGTGGGGTTCTTTATGACGTCACAGAGCTTACTCCTGAATCAGTATGACTGATGATGTTAAAATGACTGTTAGTGTCTATTTTGCTGCCTAGCAAGATTTTCTGAAATGTTTTGACTGAAGCAAAATTATGGCTATGGCTTTTTTTCCAATTGAAAAAGAAAAATGTCTATTCGAGGACTATGTCTGATCTTTTCTTTTTTGTTCATCTGCTTCATCATAGGGAGCTTCTGCATATGTGATGGAACTACCTGGACAAAGGTCGGATGGGAAATTTTTCCAGAAGAAATGTACTATTTGAGAGTTAAATCTTCTCCATCTAACTGCCTACCCTACCCACTGAACAAATTATGCTGTAATTTTGCTAACATGGATGTATTTCAGAGTTGTTTACACCTATTTTATGTTTTAGTGCAAGCTCTCATTTTAATCCTGTCTGTTTTATCTGTGCATTACCTGTGGATGAAATGGAAGAAACACCAAAAAAAGGTGAATGGGTGATTTAAGTGCTAACAGTTATAGAATCTAAGAAAGTTTATGACATAAGATTATACATTTCCGATCCCTGCCTCCCCCTGCATCTTAGTATCTAGTACAGTGGCCTGTATATCTTACTGCTCGACAAATGCGTGCTGAATTAGAAAATTTGCTACTCAATCCCTCTATTTCAAGTTATAAAAATATCAGGAAAAGTAGTGAGCTGCAATAAACAGAAGGCATAGAAAACAGAGTCATCTATCTTTGCCTTTAGAGCCAATTTCGTGTTTCTTGACTCATTTATAAAATGAAGAACTTGGAACAAAAAAATCCCTTTGATCCATTCCAGACCTAAGAAAATGAGTTTTAAAACAGTTGGCATGCATTTTTTTAACAGACCACAAGCTAGTTTCTAATGTCAAGATAACTGTCTAAGAGAACCGAGCTCTTAAACTAATTTTTCACCTTTGCCAACAGATGGAATCATACTCTGTACCACTCTTTAAAAAACCACAGACATGAAAAAAGCAATTAGATATTTATGTATGTTTTTTATCTTAAAATTACTGTAACATCATCATACCAGTATACCTTGAGATTGTTTCATATGAGAATATAACCTTGCCAGTATTTTAATGATTGCTCCAGGCAGAGTGCTCTTATTAATGAACATTAGTGATTGTGATAATGATCCTATAATCTTATTTGGAGAATATATAAAATATTTCCTCAGTACTATTATTTCTTTAATAGCCTTTCCTTAGAAAAATAGATGTAATGTAGGGCATTTTCATAGAGTTTAAGTTTATATATTTAGAAAACATTTAATTTTATCCGCAGAAAGAAAAAATCTACAACATATTTATTTCTCCTTTTAGCTGAAAAAATACGCCTCCTTAGATACATCTCGTAATGATCTAGAAAGTCTATCTGTCTGTGATATTGACCAAATACTCCGCAGACTTTTGGCCACATCAGTGATGACGAAGTACCTGAAGCACATGTCCAGGCATCTTCCTTCTAAGAAAGTGAAGCACCGAAAATTAAAGAGGAGGAGGAGGAGTGTTCTGGAAGGAGCCGAAAGATACTAAACCTGTGCATGGGAGAATACAGCTTGATCCAGTATGGAGATCACAAAAGAAGTCTAGAGAGAGGACTAATAGAAGGGCAAAAAGAATTCTTTGGGAGGTTTTGCAATTTTTGCCACATTCTTTACTGAAATTTCCCCAAAAAAGCACCTAGGTTAAAAAGCTATTTCCATTCAGCTAGAAAAGGAATTCATGCTTACTACAGTTTTGGAGGAAAGACTGCATACTATCACTGCTATGTGTTTATTTTGTTCCCTTAAATGTGTTAGACAACTAAGCATTACCCATTCTATAGAACAGAATCTTAGTTTATTTTAATAAATCTCTGACTTAAATAGTAAATATGGATTTTCCTCATTTCCCTAAGCAAATTTTATAGTCATGCAGAAAGGCTTTTGATTTCCCAACTGAGTTTACTAAGATCTCATGCAAGTATTCAGAAACAGAGTAATAAAACATTGATTTTTGTCTCAGTTTTCAGTGTGATAATGAATTATTATTATTATCTATTATTGAGTTGGAACTGACAGACAGCTGACCTACTTAGTTTTCAAAAGCAGTAGATCACATAGGAGGAGATTATGTATCTTTCTCCTGAGGAACAGCTGGCTGATTCAAACCATTTGTCTTTAGTTTGGCAGCACTATTCTGTACCACTAAGCCACCAATGTTTCCCTCTGAATATGAATTAGGTATCAATATTTTAATTTTAAATCAATATTTGAATTTCTGATAGTGAATTTTTGTTGTTGTATACCACCAAGTCAGAAGCTGAGCCTATGGTGGGTTTTCAGAGGCAGTTAATCGCACAGGAGGAAATTGCCCATCCTTTCCCAAGGAGCAGCTGGAGGATTTGAACCATATGCCTTCAGAATTGCAGCCCAGCTTCTTGCCTCTAGGCCACCAGAGCTCATTAGATTTCAATATTTAAAACTTCAGGCTTTTGTTGATCAGTCACATCAGTTTAGAAAAGTACAGTTACCATATTTTCTAAATAAAAACTGAGAAGTCCAAGAGTAGGATAGATGATCTGATTTAAATCTGGAAAGTAATACATGTTCTAGTGGCCAAATGGTAAGAAACTGTGGTGCAATCACAAAAGCACATGGTTCAAATTTAGCTCCTCCATAGGAGAAGGATGGGCAATGTCCTCCTGTGTGATTAACTGCCTCTAAAAACCCACCAGAAGGTCAGCTATGGGTCAGTTCCCACTTGATGGTACACAAGAACCTATAGTGAAGGGGGCACTAGTGGTGCAGTCTGCAGGGGGTTGCATTGCAAACTCGAAGGCCATGCCTCTCTGGCACCTCAATCCTCCAAAGAGTAAAGGTGGACACAATCCTCTCTCGTGCAATTTACAGGCTCCAAAAAGCCAACTGAAGGGTCAGTTATGAGTTCAGACTTGATAGCAATGAGTTTGAGAGGGTGATATGTATCATAAGACAACACAGGGAGGTAAAAACTTT